CTCCTCCCTCGACGCGCGCGCGCGCTTTGAGCGGGGCGTGCACCTCGACGCGGCGCACGCCTCGGCGCTCACCTTCACCCTCTCGGCGGCCGACTTTGCGGTGCGCGTCGCGGCGGGGGGGCTTGCCCTCCCCTCCCCCACGGTTACCCGAACCCACCCTCCCCTGCCCCACGGTACCCGAACCCACCCTCCCCTCCCCCACGGTACCCGAACCCACCCTCCCCTACCCCACGGTACCCGAACCCAGGTGCGCGCCGCGGCGGCGGACTGGGCGCCGGTCGGGTTTGTGGGCAACTCGCTGGGCGGGGGCAACTAGAAGCCGAACGCGTAGTCTCGGCCCTCCAAGTATTGCTCGAGAGGAGGGTAGGTTAGGTAGAAAGGTGAAGAACAGCCAGGCTCGGACTGGACACCAACGCGGTATGGGTGGACGCTAGACAGATGAGATGACGACACGCACGAGCGACACACAGACACAAACAGGCTCACGAGACACACGAGAGGACACGTATGCGGAGTCGACGCTCTTCCGCCGTACATTGCGCCGTCTTCCGCTGTCTTCGCCGCGTCTCCTCCGACTGCGCGGCACAGGACCGGCACGAGACCGCCCTTTCGCCCTGAGGTTGGCGGCCTCACCCACGCAGGCTGGTACACGGCGGCGCACCTCGCGGGCGCACTCTCGTTCGGCGAGGCGCTCGAGATCGTGCTGCGGACGGGCGGGTGGCAGCGCAGGCACACGGCCGGCGGCCAGCTCGTCGCCCCGGCCAGCTCGTCGCCCCGGCCGTGCTTCTGCTGAGCGGCCGTATGTCGCCTGCAGGCACACAGTCGGCGGCCAACTCGTCTACCCGACGCAAGACGAGGGCTGGACGCCGAGCGGCGAGCTGCGGGCCGCGGTCGATGGCGCGCTGCGAGAGGCAAACTCCGCCGGCTACGCCGCGCTCTCCATCGACCTCGGCGGCGCGGTCGTCCTCGCCGCCGACGAGCCGGGCCTCACATCGCTCAAGGCGGCGCTGCCGCCCGTCGCGCGGGGCCGCACCCGCTTCCCGCTCTCGCTGCCTGGCCACTCAGCCTTCCACACGCCGCTGATGGCGCCGATGGCGGACCCAGCTCGAGCCGCAGGCTGGCGCGTCCAGGACAGGCCCACGGTCACCCTCCCCCCCCCCTCACGTGCACTGTATAGGCGGCCGAGCTGGAGCAGACGCCGCCGTTCGCGCCGCCCACGTCGCCGCTCGTGGACGGCTCTGGCAGGCTCTGGCCGGCGGGCGGCGAGGCGTGCGACGTCGCCGCGCTGCGCGAGTACACCATCCACGAGCAGGTGGTTGCGCCGTACCGTTTCGCGCACTCGCTCGAGACGGCCATGGGCGCGCTCGACCCGGAGGGGCCTCCGGGGACCATCGCGGGCGCCGCTGGAGACCCTTCCCTTGAAAGACCCTGGTTCCCCCCCCCCCCCCCCCCGCCCCCCTCCCAAGGTGCTCGTGCTGCTCGGCCCGGGCGCTGGGCTGGGCGGCGCGATCGGCCAGGTGCTCTCGCGCATGCGCTGGCGGGGCATCGACTCGAAGGCGGCGTTCGCGCAAGCGCAGCGGTCGGACCGCCCCGCCCTCATCACTCTCCCGCCCGCGGGGGCGGCTCCGGCCGCGGAGGCCGCAGAGGAGCGCCCGCTCGCTATCAACGAGTAGGAGCGACCTGGTCGAGCCCGCAACGGGCTCGGTCGACCGCGCCTGGCGTAGCGCGGCTCGGCGCATGCTCAACACCCACAAAGCACCTCCTCTCACGCCCTTCCACACTCAGACACCCAATCACGCACGTCTGCTCTTAGCCGCTCACCCTCCCCTTCAGCTCTTCACTTTTCTACATGGTTTCGCATTTTGTAAATGCTCCACGAAAACACACCACACTGCACACACAATTATGTATGTAAAAGAGGAGTGCAGAAGATTGGACAGGGGGAGCGCCGGCTTTCGAGGCGATGGTGCGCACCGGACGCGGCGAGAAGTCGGTGGAGGTCGCCCTCAAACACATGAAGAACCACCTCTGGTGCGAGCTGTGGCCCGCGATGCCAGCGGCCGGCACGTCGGAGGCGAGGCAGTACTGGAAGTCGGTGAGGGACCAGGTCATGTCCTTGTTCGAGGGCGGCGGCAGCGGGATGAAGATGCTGGCGGAGGAGGCGGGGAAGGCGGCGGGGCGAGCCGCGGCAGCCGAGAGCGCCGCGCGCGGGAAGAGCGCGCACCAGCAGCGGCTGGCGAGCGCGCAGGCGAGCGCAGCGGCGAGCAAGCGGACGGTGGAGCAGCTGAGCGCGGCGACGACCCACCCGTGCACGAAGCAGCACCTGTACCAGGTCGGCGAGTACCAGCTGCAGGACGCGTCGCTGGCGGAGCCGTTTGAAGCAAACGTGGCTCACGTCGTGTGTGCGTACTTGGGAACGGCGAAGGTCACGGGCTGCCGTCCCGGGATGGCGATGAACGACGCGCGAACGACCTGGCGGACGCCGACAGCCCCTGGCACGAGCTGCCGCCGCTGCAGATGGGCGACCTCTTCATCACCATGGACGAGGTCGCGGGGGAGGGCGAGGCGGGCGCAGTGCGGATGGAGGGCGATTTCGAGGCGCTGAGCCGGATGGAGGTGACGTTCAGGCGGAAGAAGGGCGAGTACTACGCGAAGTACGAGTTCGGCACCGCGCTCACGCCCGACTCGGACCAGATGATTCGCCTCGGCACGGTGGCGATGCTGAGGCTGCTTGTGCGATGCGGGAGCTTTCGGGCGTGTTATGCGCACCTGAGCCGCGCCGACGCGGCGGCGCTGCGAAGGAAGGTGGCCGACCCGCGTGGCTTTGCGGGGCTCGAGATCGAGGACACGGGCTACGACAGCTTCCTGTCGCTGGTGAGGGCGTGTCGCGAGGATGGGTGGGTGCTGGACGAGGCAGCGCTGGATCGGCCTCTCTTTCCCGCCGTCGACGAGGCCACGGGCAACTTCCTGTTCACGGAGAGCTTTCAGGTGCGGCGCATGTGCAGGCGCCTCATCGAGACGGGCGCGAGGATTGGGATGAACAAGCACAAGGTCGGCGCGTGGAGTTTGCGCAAGGATGCGTGCGAGCAGCCGGCGGCGGCGGGGGACTACCGCGCCGACCGGGTCTACCGCGCCGACCTTCGGACGCGCGACCTCGGCGCGTACTGGGTGCGGCGCGGCGCGCTGGAGAGCGTCGAGCGGGCGCCGCAGTCGGCGCTATCGGCGACGCGGGTTCTTTCTTTTCTTGACTTAGGGGTAGTTTTGTGGGGTGTTTGTGCGGAGCGGCGAAGGGAGCGCGGGGGGGCTGCGTAGAGGCTCGAGGGCGGGCCGCTGTCCCGGGAACCCCGGGAAGCCGGGCGGGCGCCGGGCGGAGGCTGTGGCTGACTGGAGAAAATTAAGAGGGATCGGATCCGAGCTACTCCATGAAAGAAATACTCTAGCAGTCGAAATCCATTGGACACCTACACTAGCATCTCGCCGCTACACTAGCATTTCGCCGCTGCGACTCTTGACGAGGGTCTCCTTACCGGGAAGATATTTGTGGAGAAATCCAACTGCAGCTGCTGCTACGCCCATAACCGTAGCGATGCCGAAAACGGCCGGGACTGCTGGTGTGCCGCGCGCCTTCTGGCCTGCGATGATCTTCGAACTGGTGATGTGATCTGCTTCGCATATCCATCTCCGCTCCCCTTTGGCCTTTTTCGGAGTTAGGAACGAACAGCACTCTTTACGGTCCCCGCGACGTGGAGGCTCTTCGTAGAGCCATTCAGCCAGGGCCTCACAATGCTGCACACCGTAATGATCAGGCGTGCAATAGTCTTCGCCATCTCCCGTGCAGAACATACCGTGACCCGGGGATGACCCAGGAACAACGTGGTTCCAGAGCAGTCGCGCAGCTGCTGCGCGCCCTCGCACGGCGGCGACGTGCAGCGGAGTCAAGCCTCGTGCGTCGAGCACGTCCACGTCTTCGCTTTCCGCGAGAAGCCTCTTCAAGGCGGCGGCGTCGTCTCGCTGAGCCGCCTCGTGCAGTGGGGTGGCGCAAACGGCAGAGGAGGCGAGCAGAAGCAAGAACCACGCGAACGTGAGCACCAAATGTCTTGAGGGCCGAGACGTCTTGAGGGCCAGCGGCTTACTAGGGCCAGTCTTGCTGGCCGAGGAGCCTCTCCACTTCAGCGCCACGACAGAGACGCCCAAGCACCCCACGAGGGCACCCATGAGGAGGGGCCAAAGAGAGCTGCAAGCCGTGTCCGCCTCGGCGGTGAAGATTTCGGCCTGTGGAAAGGCAGGCGCGGGCGACAGTCCGCCAGGCACGCTGCGAAGAGGCGCGAGGAGTGATAGAAGCGAGTGGCTTGGCAGGGCACGCAGGGGAGGCCGTGCGGCAGGCAGGGGCAGGGGGGAGACGGGCTGGCGATGCGGTGCTCGGATCGCCTGGTCCGCCCCCTCCTCCTCGCCCTGCTCGACCTCGAGCGTGAAGGAGTCGGCACAGATGCAGGAGGCGCAGCGTGGCCGCGAGCCGGCGAGGTCACTTGAAATGGAGAAGAGATCGGTCGACTCAACCGTCTTCGAGTCGGCGATCTGAGTGGCGCAGACCTCCGCGGGCCGCGCCAGCTCCTCCAGCGACGCCTCGCTGCGCTGATCCTCCGCCACCTCGGTCTTTGGCGGAACCGGCAGAGGCATGGGCACCGCCTCAGTCTCGGACAACCGGGCCGGGATGGGCAGCGACGCCTGGGCCTTGCCAGAGGCGGCCCAGCAGCCTGGTGGCTCCTCGGACTCGAGCGAAAATCGCCGTTCCGCCGTGGCGGGGTGGCGGGTGCGCACCTGGAGCGGCCAAAGGAGCGAGTGTTGATGCAGGGCAGACAGGGCAGGCAGACCGGGCAGCGGCGGCGGGTGGGCATAGCCAGAGGGGTGACGGTTTGGCAGCCGATGCAGCGGCGTGGGAAGTGCAGTGCTGGTCGCCAATCGCCTGATCCGCCCGCTTCAGCTCGCCCTGCCCGACCTCGAGCAGCGAGGAGTTCGCGCGGGCAAAGGAGGCGCAGGCGCGCTGCCAGTCGGCGCACCCGCTTGAGACGGAGAAGAGATCGGACTCGACCGCGTTCGAGTCGGAGATCCGGGTCGAGCGGAGCTCTGCGGGACACGCAAATTGCCCCAGCGCGGCCGTCAGGCGTGCATCGACGGCCCGGTCGCTCTGGAGGAAGAGGAGGTGCTGGGGCGCAGCCGCTCGCTCGCCGTCCGCCGGCTTGGTCGTTGGCGGGCCGATCGGGGCGCGGAGGCCGATGGACGCCTCAAGAATCGTGAGAGGGGCGGACGCCGCATCCGGCGGCGCCTCGGTCTTGACAGAATCCTTGGTTGGGACTCGAGAAGTGTCCGCGACTCCGGCGTTCGCTCGCCACCCGCCGCCGACTTGCATGCAAGGAGGAGGAGGAGGGCCGCCGACGCGGACTGTTGGGCTTGAGACGCTCTGGCGCGCGGTCGCCGCGGCGAGGATGCTCGCGAAGGTGCAGAACATGAATCGCCGCTGCAAACCCGGCGGGTGCGGCATTGTGAGGGGCGACTGCTCGCTGTGAAGACACAGGCGTTTCAGTGTTTCCTACTGATGTCCCTCAACACATCAGGCGCCCGCCCCGCTGGCCCTCGGGCGCAGCCGGTCTGCCTCGCGAGGCACACGTACGCGCTCATGATGAAGGCCACGTTCACCTCGAATGGCTCGGAGAGGTGCGCGTCCTGCAGCAGGTACTCCCCCGCCTGGAACAGGTGCTGCTTCGTGCACGGGCGGGTCGTCCCCGCGCGCAGCTCCGCTTCCACCTGCCGGGTCGCGTCCGCGCTCGCCTTCGCGCTCGCCGCCTGCTGCTGCTCCACGCCCTCGCCTCGCGCGACGCTCGCCTGCGCCGCCGCTGTCCCGCTTCCCTCCCAGCCTTCTCTGCAACCTGTCGCAACCCGCCGCCGCCGCCGTCGAAGATCCCCATCACGCGCCGCGTCACCCAGTGCCAGTACTGCCTCGCATCGGCCGGCATCGCGGGCCACAGCTCGCGCCAGACGTGGTTCTTCATGTGCTGCAGTGCGACGTACACCGTGTTCGAGCCCCGGCCGCTGCGCGCCGTCGCCTCCGCCTGTCCCGCCGACTGCTCCTCGGCCAGGTGCCAGCTAGACGCCCTCGACTCGACGATCCGCGTCGTGGCCAGCCACTTGCCGAACTCGACCGTCCACCGCATGGTCGGGTGAAGGCCGCGGGAAGTGCGCTGCATCGGCACCGACAGGCCGTCCTCCGCCAGCTCTGCGAGGTACTCCCTCAGCAGGCGACGCACCCACACGAGATGACGCGACAGCGTGGCGCTGTGTGGCGTCAGCATCGGCGCGTCGTCGGGCCGACTGGCCTCGCGCTGCTCGGCCTCGTCCCGCGTGCGAAGCAGCTCCATGGAGTTCCCCACCGCTGAGAACACTGATCACAAGGTCAAGACGCCGGACCCCCACGTCCCGACATCACGACGTGCCGACATAAGAGACAACACAAAACAGGACTCTGCAAGAAGAAAAACGCGTTTGGCAAAGTCCCCACCTGCAAGCGACACTTGGAAGGAGAGATTTTTCAGTGTATGTAGCTCTTACGAACATATGCACATATACATAGATAGTATTGCAATACGCACTCGCATCATCAGCGCGTGAGACATGGGCCGCATCCGATTGTTACTGCTCGCGGCGTTGTTTTGCTCCACGCACGCAGGATGAGGCAAGAAGCGGGCGGACACTTTGCCTGCCAACGCCGCCGACATCCCAGCGGGCGACTACAAGACGTCCTGCCGCGGTTGCAAGCTCGAGGATGGTGAGGCAAGCGTCCTGGCATGCAGCCACTGCGAGAAGCCGTGCGGCGCGCGGATTCCGTCCCGCCTCGACACGAGCACCTGCACAGACGGTAGCACCGTGACTAACAGCGCCGGAAAGCTCTCGTGCAAGCCGCCGCCGCCGATCAACGCGCCCGACGTGCCCACTGGCACCTACTTGGGGTCCTGCAACGGATGCACGGTGACGGACGACCTTCTGTCGTGCTCGGAGTGCACAGATGGTGCGGGCAACAAGCACGCGACCTCCCTGCGACTCGACACCTGCGATGTTTCCACCATCAGCAACGAGCAGGGCTCTCTGAGCTGCGCGCTGCGTCCGCGTGAGCTGGCGGAGGAGAGGCAGGGATCGGCGCAGCCGGCCGAGCCGGTGCCGGAGCCTGCCGTGCCGCAGCCCAGGACTGCACCCACCGAGCCGCAGCCCGCGGCAGCTGCGGCTCACGACGAGCTCTAAGCGGCGGCGCGCCGTCGACCTTGCTGCCCTAGTGTCCTTGGGCGTCAATGATGGCTGCGCCCACAAGTGCGTTCACGCACCGGGCGCCACGCCTGAAGCCATTGCCCGGAACGCGTGTGTGGTGTGCTGGGGCTCGCTCGTGGGGGCCGGACGATTTCTTTTCCGTACTCGAGTAGGCATCTTCGAAATCCTCGTCACTTCTGTCCCCTGTCATAGCTCATACCTACGGGGTGTGGACCCTGAGTTGACCAGGGGTTGTGCGCTGGGCCCTCCTGCTCGGCTCCAGCCAGTAGACAAGTCTTGTCATCAACAGAGGAGAAGGATCTGACCTCGGGGCCGATGTGACCAAGCGCTGGTAGCGTGGTTTAACCTCACACCCATGGTCTCACAGTGTGCCGGCAGTCGCCGAGCAGTGTCGCTCACACAAGCCGCAGCACAAGTGACTGAGGGCCAGTGAGGGCGAGCCCATCGCTGTCACAGCTGTGGCAGCCGCACAGTAGGCTGTGCCAACTGTGCAGAGCGTGTGAGCAGCAGAGGAGCTGCTCTCCAGGCTTCTGTCGCAAAGAGCTGCATGCCACCGAAAGCGCTGTCGAGGTTCGCCGAGCGCGGCGCAGGTTGAGGGAAGCCGCCACCGACGAGCGCGTTGGACTTTTCACTCCGGACAAAGACGGGTAGACGCACACGAGCCGCGGTCGTCTACCCGTCATAGTGGCGAGGCGCGGGACCGTCTGTGGCGAAGTGGGTCGCGTCCTCCGATTTCCTCAACTCACGGTCCGCTCCCTCTAAGAGTGATGAGAGAGAGTGTGCCTTTTGGGACCGTCGCCCCTTGCATGCGGAGGGGGCCCGCTGTTTTGACTTTTGTTGTTGTTCGTATGTTCGATTGAGAGAGAAATTTGAGAACCAACAACAAATCACGACTTCACAGTGATTATTTGGGCTCGGCAGCTTGTCTCTCTTCGATTGATGTGTTGAGATAGGAGATGCACCTCTATCGTTTTCGCCTTTTGTTGGACGGCGTGACCAGTCAGCTGGCGATAATAGAAGCTGCGTGTGAATATCAATGCCCTGCAGTCTTGTCCGCGCGCGCTGGTCCCGCCGGGCGCCGCTGGAAGAGGCTCAGCTGAGCTCGATGCCGCGCTCCTCGCACGCGGCCACCAGCTCAGGCTGTTTCTTCACGCAGAGCTTCTGCACGCGAGGGGAGATGCGATGAGCATTGGGCGGGGGAGGGACGAGTGGCGAGGGTGGCGTCTTGCGCCTTCAAGCTCGGGGCGGCCCCCTCCTTGAGGGCGGCGGCCAGCGCCTTGCAGCCCTCGTCGCCGATCTGGTTGCTTTTGAGCCAGAGTGTCTTGAGCCGCGGCGCTGCCCCCTCCTTGCCGAGGGCGGCGGCCAGCGCCTCGCAGCCCTCGTCGCCAATCTTGTTGTTGCTGAGAGAGAGCCTCTCGAGCCGCGGCGCTGCCCCGCTCGCGAGGACCTCCGCCAGCTGCGCCGCCTCCGCGTCGCCCCAGCCGAGGTAACTGTAGTTCAGCCCGGTCGCCTTGCCAAACTGCTCCTCGAAGGCAGCCTCGTACAGCCGCTTCACGAGCGGCTTGTCATCCTTGCCGTTGGTGAAGCTCTTCGTCTCCAGCTCTGCCGCGAACGCAGACGGCAGCAGCGGAGGGCGCCGGCCGCCGTCCTGGATGCAGTCGTCGTCGAGGCTGTCGAAGTCGTACTCTTTGCCGTCGCGCATCTTGCCGAGGTCGAGCGAGAGCCGGCCGGCCTTAGTCAGGCTCGCCCGCTCTGCTCGGTGAAGCACCAGCCGCGGTCAAAGTACTTGGCCACGTTGGTGCCCTCGGCCTGGTCCTCCGCCTTGTGGCCGTCCGGGAAGGAGGTCAGCCGCAGCACGAATGTCTTCGGGTGGGAGTAGAGCGTGCCGAGGCAGCCCAGCCCATGCTTGAAGAGCGCGTTCTGCTCCTCGGTGCGCATGACGCCGTTGGCGGGGTCGGGGTGCTGGTGAAGAGAGCCGAAGTCCCAAAAGACGCCGAGCTGCGTGATGGCCCAATGCGAGAGCAGGGCCTTGAGCGCCCTTGCGACGCGGGAGAGGTTGGCTCCGCGCGGGTCGGGGTGGTCCTTGGTCATTCACGGGTAGGAGAGCGCGGCGACGGGAAAGACATTGGTCGCCTCGACGAGGTCGGCGAGGGAGAGGAAGGCCTCTTTGGGCAGCGCCTGGCGGTGGGTGAGGACGCCGCCCGCCCCGGCGTGGCTGATGATCCACTGCGCGTCGAGGAGGGCGACGGCGCCGCTCGCGAGGACTGGCTCCAGGTCGCCGCCGCCGTGCTCGCGCCACAGCTTTAGCTTGTACTTCTCCACGCCGAGATCGGTGGCGGATGGGAGAACCTGCTCATGCCTCAGCCCATTGAGCCGCAAAGCCGGCCCGTTTCGCTGGGCTGGGTTTGAGGCATTGTTGGCACGTCCACCGTCTCTGAGATGGACACCAGTGGGTGTGGGACCACAGGCAGGCAGGCAGGATACACTCGAAGGCTGGGTAAGAGAGAGCTGGGTAAGCAGTAGAGGTCGATACTCGACGCGTCCCACATGGTATGTTTCGCTGTCGGCACGCTGTCGACAGGACGTCGAGCGACACCGGTGGCAACTCTCTCTCTCCGGTGGCAGTGCCACCCAGGAGTGGTCGGGCGGTCTCCCGTCATGAGAGAGCCACCATGCGATCCATATAATGATTCCCGACAACCGCCTCAGTCAACTTTCGTCACAGTTCCCGCTCTGAGACGTGAGAGGAGCTGCGGGTCAGTTCGACAGCTGGAGCTGTGTCGCCGGCGTGCGGCGGCCTGCCTCCGGAGGTGCCTCTGAGGTGGACATTTTTTGGTCACCGTGAAATTCGCACAAAGTCTGAGACCTGTCACAAAAGTGATGCACGTATTGGGAGCGCGACTGCACAAGTCAGGCGCAGGCCGCCACCTGGAGTCTAAAACAAACAGCGGGCAGCACGCAGAGTTTTTAGTTACTGCGAGATATTGCTAACCCTCGTACTGCGATGATTGCGCCTCCGCCACGAGTGTCTCCACCAAGGCAGCGGCGGGCATGGCGCGTGAGCGCGCATACCCGGAGCCCGCCCAGAGATACGCCGCGTCCTTGCGCCCTTGCTTAAGCGCCGCCGCCTGCAGCGTGCGGCCGGCGAGCATGCCGTTGAAGCAGTTGGGCAGTGCTCCCTCGAGGTCAGCCATGCGGAGGGCGCGGTCGGTCTGCAGTCCCCGCGCGGGCTTGCCGGTGTAGCCCAGCGTCACCACCGTCGGCAAGGGGTCAGAGGCGTCTCGGCCCTCGCCGCCGTACCCGAGCAGCGCCTCGCGGTGCATCGCGCTCGTGCCGCACTCTGGGCACGACAGGAAGGCGGTCCCCAGCTGGGCGGCGGACGCGCCCGCCTCGAGCACGGCTCGGATGTCGCCGCCGCGCATGATGCCGCCCGCGGCGATGACGGGCACGTCCACCGCGTCGGCGATGCCGCGCACGAGCGGCACCACCTCGACGAGCGCGCGCCGATAGTCTTGCGCGTCGATGAAGGTGCCCCTGTGCCCTCCCGCCTCTGCACCTTGCGCGATGATGGCGTCGGCGCCCTGGTCGACCAGCCACCTCGCCTCCTCCACCGTGGTGGCGCAGCCCTGGAGGGTCGCCCCGGCCTCGCGCAAGCGGCCAGCCTCCGCAGCGTCGGGCCATCCAAAGTGGAAGCTCACGAGCTTCACGCCCGTCTCGAGGAGGGCGTCGACCTGGCCGCTGAAGACCGCCTGGTGCTCCTCCCGCGACAGCGAGGGCGCCGCTGTGCCGGCGGCCTCGCCGGAGAGCTCTCTCAGGTAGCCTTCGTACCGCTCCCGCGCCACCTCGACGGCGGCCGCCTGCGGCTCAGTCCAAGAACTCGGGTCCGTGTAGAAGCCGGACGGCACAAACAGGTTGACGCCGAAGACGGCACCAGCATTCAGCATCGCCTGGGTCTCGCGGATCCTGCTAACGAGCACGTCCTTGCCAAGCTGGCCGGCGCCTTCAAAGGCTACGACTCCAGCGTTGGCCGCGGCGGCGCACAGCCGAGGAGTGGTGTGGGCAAGCATCGGAGCGAGCACGATGGGATGCTTAGCGCCGATGCGAGCTGCGAACGCGGTCGCGTGCGACGGGAAAGGCCGCATCCGGGCGTTGGAATAGCAGATCGCTAGGAGGACGGCGAGGCACTTCCTTCTCAGCACCGTCCACTGTCCGGCTCCGCGGAGGCAAGCACAGCCTTGTTATTGAGAAGAATTCTTGAGATATTGAGAAGAATTCAACCCCGCATCCATCCCTCACTCGCTGCCTCCTAGAAGAAGAGGCTGGCGATGGTCTCGTCTGCGGGCGTGCCGCCAGCGAAGATGTCGATGTCGATGTTGGTTGGGGACGGGCGACGCCAGAACGGCGCCTCCTCGTCCTGGTGCTCTACTCCTTCGGTACCTGTCAACCAGGGTCCCGGCAGGAGCGAGTCGTCGGACGGGTAGAAGAAGAAACAAACAACTGCCTCCTTGCTCAATCGCCGTGTCTCGCCAGCCTTTCCATGTGCGCCCATCCCACCTGCTTCGTGCCGGCGCGGCTCGACCCGACACCATTCGTGGAGCGGTGGGGGGAGCGTCGGGACCTCACCGATCGCTGGCAGCGCTGGCAGATCCAGACGGCACAGGCAGAGGCTCAGTACGCGCAGGCAGACGTGGCTACTACCACCCCCGCGGGGCCCGCATCAGCGTCGCCCGCCTCGTGTGTGTGTGTGTGTGTGACTCACTCATTCACACTCACTCACGCCCGCCTCGTCTTCCACCGCCCCCGCCGCCGCCACGCCCGCGGCAGAGGGGTCCGGAGTGGTGTGGCGCCGGGTGTGGGTGGGCGTCGAGTCCGTGTCGAGTGTTTACTAGCTCCGAGTAGAGGGGGCCCGACTGCACTCCAAGTGCTCCAAGAGAACTCTCTCTCACCGACACAGGTTCGACACAGGTATTGAGAAGAAAATCCCTCGCGACGCGGTGCTTCACAGCCTTGTTATTGAGAAGAAAATACCTCCTATGGCGCTGGGCGCTGGTCTGTGATGACCCGCGCAAAGAGCTAGATGCAGCCGTCACCATTCTACGGCCTCAGAGCGTATGCCTTGCCGCCGGACGGTGGCGGTCGTGGCGGTGGTTGGGCCAAGCAAGCATGTCCCAGCCGAGGCCAGTCCCTAGGGGCCCCGGTATTTCTCCTGCACACGAGCGAGCGACGGCGTCATGTCGGAGTACGCGAAGCCCAGCAGCTACGGCCACTAGGGTGTTTGTGTAGGGCGCGAGGGCACGCCATTACATACACGGAGGATGCGAGATGCGCACCTCCGAACCGAGATTCCGCGACTCGGTTGTCTCTCACACACTCTCACAGCTCGGACTTTGCGTTTCCGTTTGCCCCCCCGCCCGCCAGCTTGCGCGCGCTCACGGCGTACACCGGATCGCTCCGCCCCGCGCGTGTGTGGTCGACCCCAGAAGAAAACGTACTTCGCGGTTTGGTGTTTGCTCTCTCTTATGATGTTAAAGGGTGTGGGCCGTGAGTTGAGGAAATCGAGGGACGCGACCCACCTCGCCACAGACGGTCCCGCGCCTCGCCGCTATGACGGGTAGACGACCGCGCGGCTCGTGTGCGTCTACCCGTCCTTTGTCCGGAGTGAATACTCCAACGCGCTCGTCGGTGGCGGCTTCCCTCAACCTGCGCCGCGCTCGGCGAACCTCGACAGCGCCTTCGGTGGCATGCAGCTCTTTGCGACAGAAGCCTGGAGAGCAGCTCCACTGCTGCTCACACGCTCTGCACAGTTGGCACAGCCTACTGTGCGGCTGCCACAGCTGTCACAGCGATGGGCTCGCCCTCACTGGCCCTCAGTCACTTGTGCTGCGGCTTGTGTGAGCGACACTGCTCGGCGACTACCGGCACACTGTGAGACCAATGGGTGTGAGGTAAAACCACGCTACCTACCAGCGCTTGGTCACATGAGCGCCCTAAGGTCAGATCCTTCTCCTCCCCACCGACCGGCACGCGCACCGAATCATTCGCGGATGCTCGAGGCCCGGGGCCCCCGGCGCAGTTATTCGAAAGTACTTGTAGTATAGTAGGGTGAGAATTATGAAAAACGCCGGAATTCGGACGAGTACTCTCGCCTGCACAAATTCGATAAGTGGGACAAGGAGGGATGCGTCCAGGATGCACGTCCTGCAGTTTGAGGTGTGCTTTCGTTCCCTCTCCTCGGTGACCAAACGACGAGCTGGAGAGCTGGCGACCGAACGCGACCCGAGGGTGGCTGGCGGCGATGGACGACCGAGCGGAGACGCAACGAATCGAGGAGCGGCTCCCGCAGGGAACCGACGAGTGGCTCGCGAGACCTCGGCTGTCGACGACTTCGCGAGGAACGATCACGCCGGTGGCAATACTGCAGCCGCTGTCCGCGCCGGTCGGCGACGTGGTGATGTACACCGGGCCGTTGCAGCCGATGGGGCAGCTCCACGGGATCGGCAGGGAGTTCGGTGTCGGGACACAACCGTTGCCTGCATGCGTTGTTCGGGAGGCCGGCGAAGGCGCGATCACACAAGATGAGCGCAGAGGCGACGTCGGGCCGACGCGAGCAAACAAGACGAGGCGGATGGATCGGCGCCTCACTCACTGGCAGTGCATCTACTGCCGGCGCGAGACGCGGAACGATGCACGGGCGACGAGGTGCTGGAACTGCGATGGCGAGAAGGAGCAGCTGCGTGACGCGGACAGTGAGGGGCGCGAGGCGGCGCGCCGCGGGCAACGTGCGAAGGAGTACGCTGGCAGATCGCTGAACGCGCTCGGCGCTGGCACGTCGCTGGTGCCGCGAGCCGCGCAGGGAGTGTTCGAGCGGGCGCGGTTGGATGATATGGCGTAGGTAGGTAGGTAGGTAGTAAGGTGAAGAACAGCCAGGCTCGGACTGGACACCAACGCGGTATGGGTGGACGCTAGACAGATGATGACGACACGCACGAGCGACACACAGACACAAACAAGCTCACAAGACACACAGCCAGCTGGCTGCCACACACCCTGAGTCGGCGTACACATAACTCAGGGCCACATCCTCCCTGTCGCCCCCCCCAGCACTCCACGGTGCCAAGGGCACAAACAAGGGCACAACTCAAACAACAGACGACAGGAAGTGATATGTGAGGCTAGAGCAGTTTGCTCCACCTCTAGCAATCTCACCGGCCGGCAAGGCACGGACGAGACCATGTGTGGGGTCTAGTGAGGTGTCTATGGACGCTCTCCTCATGCGCTAGCCGCCTACGGCTAGCCCTTCTCGCACTCACAGGGGATGACAGTCCACTGTATGAGTGTATGCAAGTTGAGGCGCGTGGGCTAAATCTAGGCCGCACATCGTGGCACTATGACGAAGTAGACGTGCGGCCGCAGCGCGCCCGCCGCAGGCTCGGCGGTGCGCGCGTGTTAGCGACAAAGTTGCGGGTGGAGCCATGCCCGACTTTTCGAAGGTGAGGCCTCTGCGACGAGTGCCAGCCGCGCTGCGGAGCCACGCCCTTCGAGCCGCGTCCCGTCAGCACTGTCCCCGAGTGGTCCCGCCTCAGCGGCACACACTCTGAACCAGTACAGTCCCGCCAACG